ACGGGCAGCATGCACAAGAAGACCACTAACCACACGGGCAGCATGCACAGGAAGGCCACTAACCACTAACCAGACGGGCAGCATGCACAAGAAGATCACTAACCAGACGGGCAAGATGTGTATAAGAGACAGGAGTGGGGATGAGGGGAGTGGGGGATGAGGGGGAGTTAGGGGAATGAGGGGTGTGTGGGGAAGTTTCTTTCACTCAGGAAAATTTGGACAATTTGACCAGTTCATTTGTCTGAGTGCACTTCACATGACTTGCACTGCGGCAAATTACAAATTTTATGAGCGAGATAAGCGACGATAACGGCTTTATGGCATGACATGTGGCATGTGGCATGCCTTGTGGCATGTGACGTGCCGTGTGGCATGGGGCATGCCGTGTGGCATGTGGCATGCCGTGTGGCATGTGGCATGCCTTGTGGCATGTGGCATGCCGTGTGCCCTGTGGCACGAGGCATGACATGTGCTGTGTGGCATGTGGCATGACATGTGCTGTGTGGCATGTGGCATGACATGTGCTGTGTGGCATGTGGCATGACATGTGCTGTGTGGCATGTGGCAAGCCGTGTGGCATGTGGCATGCCGCGTGCCATGTGGCATGTAGCGTTGACATGTGGCACCGTGGCCATATAGATACCGCCTATCAAGTTCTAGATAGCGATACTTCACTAGAGCCTCTAGATGCACATCTAGGAGACTCTAGTCACTAGTTTTCTAGTTATTTCCGACTATTTATATGTATTATTATTTATATTAATTATTATTTATATTTATTATTATTTATATATATATTTATTTCCGATTATTTTCCTACATATTTATAGGAAAAGTTCATAGAAACTCGCTAAATTGTAGAAAACTTTCGTAACATGTCCCCCGTAACAACATGTCCCCCGTAACAACATGTCCCCCGTAACAACATGTCCCCCGTAACAATATGTCCCCCGTAACAACACGTCCCCCGTAACAACATGTCCCCCGTAACAACATGTCCCCCGTAACAACATGTCCCCAAGTCATAATCACCCACCCGTAAAATGCTTACCTCTGGAGTCATAATCACCCATTCGTGTACATGCAAACCCCTGGACATGTATAATAACACTCACGTACCCTTGCATATACCAGAAGCTGGACGATGAAATCGTTTCAATAAATGTATATTGGATTAATTGGATTGGATCCATAGATCGGAGTTAGTAGATTACCTTATTGTGTACAAGCTACATATTCAGTCATGGGATTTAGTTGGGGACTGATTGTGGGGTTTATTTGAAGACAAAATATTCATATATTTTTGTGTAAGTGCATTTCATTGCAGCAGCTGCGGTTGACAACTGTATTGGCACCTGCTATACGGTTGGAGCTATTATATATCTTTTACAAGCTATCAAATTTCGATTTTCACTTAGATCGTTACTACCATTATCAATTTCATTCACATGCAATGGATCTTGTCAATCAATTGCTACAAATTTTTAAACGGAAACCTCATCCTTAATACGCGTATAGCTCTTATCCTCTTGCAATTGTGCATAGATAAGTTTTTTTTCGTTTGTTACATAAGTTTCCTCTTCCTCTTGTTACATAAGTTTCAATCTCCTCCGCGTATATTTATATTTTTACTGATGATTTTACTTGTATTCTAAACAATGTTTTGAACTGATGATGGAGTTGGTCTCCAAAACGTTTTCATTGAAGAAGAATTTGCTTGGCGGTTTCTTTTAATTGAACAGATGTTGAGTTTGGCTGTTTTTTTTATTTCAAAATTTTCGCTTGTGACGTGTAACGTGCATGTTTTTAATGCAATATTTCCTATACCCAACAGATGGTGTTTTGCCTTCACGTTTGCTGTGGCCAAGATCTCCCTCTGCCTTCCCCTCGAGCTGGTCTAAGAGGTGCAAGGGCTTAGCAATACCCAGCCCCCAGCCACCTGCCCGAGAAAACAACTTTTCCTCCTTCAACAAACGGAGAAGAAGGAAAAGAACAACATTCAGAGAACGGGTCTTTGTCACATCGGCCCGTTACTTCCGTGAGGGGAAACGTTTTGTTGAGGGTGGTATCATCATCCCCAAACACGGCGTTGATATTGACCCGTTTGTTGTTAATCCGAGGGTCGTGTTGACGCAATGTCAGCGTCGCATCAACAGCAGCAACAACAACACCTACAACAGCAGCAACCAATTTTTGATCAGTTCGTCTTGGGTGATTCCTTCGTTAAAAATAACAACAACAGCGATATCGACAACAACAATTTGAGAGGAGTGCCTTCCTCAAACGCTATCTACGACGCGTCAGCAATTAATCCGGTTTCGCAACATCTTCAGAATCCATTTTCCCAAACATCCATCAGATGTTCATCAGATTCCCCGATCTATGTCACAAACGAGTCACAAACACCCTCTTGTGCAACCCTAACTTCTAACGTTCTAAGTCACATTTCCTCAGTAAGCTCGAAAATCAAGTCACAAGGCTACAAATCTTCCAATTTGTTATCACACAACCGGAAAATCATGAGTCCTGAAGACGCACCCACCACATCCCCACTGGCTGGGGAAGAAGGTCCCTCTTCCAACCCAAACAATGCCTCATCAGGAGCCTCTTCCCCTTCCAACACATTCAACCTGACATGCATGACGTGCCACACCCACTTCACCTCAGCCGAGCTGTACGCGAGGCACGACTGCGTTAACTCAAACTCATCCGCCGGGGATGTGTCAGAATCCAGCGTCGTCCATAACAGTTCTGGGGACCAAACAGACATGAATCGATCAGGATCTACAGGTGACGATTCAGGCATCATCCAGTCTGAATCGGAGCCCATGATACAGGAGAACTCCAGCGATGTAGAGAGATTCGACGGCAAAATCGTTTATAATCCTGACGGGTCAGCGTATATCTTCGACTCGGAGATGAGCGAGGATGACGCAGTGGGGTTGGATATTCAGCCTCAAGAGGGGAGCATTATAGATTCCCCTAATAATCCTTTGCCAGAGACGGTAGTTCCGTCTATACCTCCGATCGCCAATGCCTTCTATGTTACAAAGAACACACGAGCTTTTTATAATGCCCTTTATGGACAAACGCTTAGTTCCTTAATCCCTGAGAAAAAGGGGTCTGAAGTTCCTATTGTTCACAGTTACAGGGTTATAAGTGTTGGTGATAAAGATAGAGAAAGTGAGTGTAAAGATAACTCTGATAGCGGAGGTTCAGATAGTGCTCTTAGTGTCAAAAGTGACAAAACTAAGCTACCTTTATTAGATTATGCCCAAGTTCCTATCAAGCCAATATTAATGTGCTTTGTGTGTAAATTGAGTTTTGGTTACGTTAGATCTTTCATAAGTCACGCAATGGGTGACCACAATATCGTACTCTCCGAGGAAGAGAAGAACCTCCTCGCCACCAAGAACGTGTCGGCGATTTTGCAGGTTTCTGGTCGGGATAAAGACCCACGAATATCGTTCCTAGAACCTGTAACACATCCGGGACCTTCCCTTGGTCCCGGGCAGGCCTGCTCCTCGCCTTCCGAGGCCCCCAGTGGACCGAATCCCGACCAGCAACAGTCAAGTAACGCCGAAACGAACCAATCCAGCCAAAACGAAGCACAGAAACAGGAGAACCCCGAAGTTATTGAAGACGATGTCCCTGAACCTATGGAGACTGAAACTTCGAGTTTGTGCGTGAAGCGAGAAATTGACCTCTTCGAGCAAGTTCCAAGAAGCATGCATCATTCCCAACCCCCAAATTTAACTCTTCCTCCTCATCTTCAGCAATTTCATCCCAGTCATCATGGCCTCCATCTACCACCTCCATCATCACCGTTCGCTACTCCCCAGCATCCAGCTGGGATGAGAACACCCGACATGAGTCGAAAGTCACCCATTTCGGCATTAGGGAGTAATGGAGGCCGGTCTTCACTTTCCCCCGTCACATCCATGTCCCCCACCAGTTTTTCTCCACTACCGTCGCCTATAACCCAGCTGACGGGAACCATCATCGGTGCGTGCCCAGAGCACATGTCAGGACGGCAACAGGGTATCTCATGTGACAAATGTGACCTGATTATGCAGCAGTCCAGACAGCTCAGTGGTCAAATGGCTTTCATGCATTCAAGAAACTCTTGCAAGACTTTGAAGTGTCCCAAGTGTAACTGGCATTACAAGTACCAAGAAACTTTAGAAATTCATATGAAGGAAAAGCATCCTGAGAACGAAAGTACCTGCATCTACTGCCTAACCAGTCAACCTCATCCGCGTCTCGCTCGAGGGGAAACCTACACATGTGGGTACAAACCTTACAGATGCGAAGTGTGTAATTATTCAACAACAACCAAAGGCAACCTTTCCATACACATGCAGAGTGACAAGCACCTGAACAACATGCAAGAGCTGCAGAACGGAGGCATTCCCAATATGGAAAGCGGGGTGGTCACACCTCAAAGCCAGATGATGTCACAGGTTTCGCAGCAGAGTCCGTCTTCTAGCAGTTGTGCCCCCAAAGTGTCAACTCCCTCGTCGACTTGCATCACACCGCCATCGCACCAGAAACCGAAACCAATGTGGCGGTGTGACGTGTGCAACTACGAGACGAATGTGGCACGTAACCTGCGCATTCACATGACGAGCGAGAAGCACACACACAACATGATGGTTCTGCAGCAGAATGTGAAGCACATGCAGCAACTCAGCGCCATGCCAGACCCTATGGCACTCCTGCAGATGTCTCAAGGAGGCATGTTGCATGAGAAGCCACCACCTCCCCCACCAGAAGTTGCCATGGCTGATCTTGCCTACAACCAAGCACTTCTTATTCAGATGATTTCTGGTGGTGGGCAAATGGGAGCAGGTCTTGGAAGTAATCCCCTCGCCGGGCTAGCGAACCAAGAACACATGGGTCCTCACTTTGATCTGGGTATCAACCCGGAAGCTTTAGAACCCCCACCCGAACCAGTTCCACCGAACCCCCGTGCTGTCTATACCTGCTGCGTGTGCTCTAACTTCAACACGGATTCTTTGGAGCAATTGAACATCCATTTGCAGTTCGACAGATCCAAACTGAACGAGAACGAAGTCCTTCTTATCGTCGCAGGAAACTACATCTGTAAACTGTGCTCATACAAGACGAACCTCAAGGCCAACTTCCAGCTGCATTGCAAGACGGACAAGCACCTGCAGAAACTCCAGTACGTCAACCACATCCTGGAAGGTGGACCACGCAACGAGTGGAAGTTGAAGTACCTGGCGAACACAAACCCGCTACACGTGAGGTGCAACTTGTGTGAGTTCTACACCAACAGCGTGCACAAACTGCAGCTACACTCTGCACACCAACGACATGAGGTGCTAGCCATGTTGTTCAAGCACCTTAGTTCACCTGACCATCCCGTGCCCCTTGACAGACGGCAATTCAGGTGCTGTCTTTGCAACTTCAGCACCAAGGCGCGTCTGGAGCTGCTCCACCACATCAGGTCGGTGCGCCATCTGCAGATGGAGCAACTCCACCAGCTGCAGAGGCATGCAGAGGGCAAGAGTGGAACACATCAGGACATCGGTGACATCTTCAGAGTGGAAGAGGAGGAAGATCTGTCCACTTCTCGGGGTGAGTTGTGCCGTATTTAATCGGGGGATGAATATGTTTACATCACAGGGGTGAGTTGTGCCGTATTTAATTGGGGGATGAATACGTTTACATCACAGGGGTGAGTTGTGCCGTATCTAATGGGAAATGAATACGTTTACTTCCCGGGGTGAGTTGTGTCGTATTTAATGGGGGATAAATACGTTCACTTTCCGGGGTGAGTTGTGCCGTATTTATTGGAGGATGAATACGGTCCAAGGGGTGAGTTTTGCCGTATTTAATTGGGGTTAAATACGTTCACTTCACGAGGTGAGTTGTGCCGTATTTAATTGGGGATGAATACGTTTAAGTTACAGGGTGAGTATATTATAAGGAACTGCGAGGGACAATATATGTCTACTCCGATGGGGAAAAATGAATTGAATGTTTAGTAACCATCATGGGTAATCCATCATGGGTAATATGGGCTCATCTTTTTGTTATAGCAACTGATGGATGAGTGAGTAACATGCAACGAATTCAAATTTTTCACGATGGTGCAATGAGTTCAATCTTTAGAGTTTCACCACACAGAACTTATGCAATTCATGACTTAACAGTGAACTGTCATAAATTCACCCGGTATTCATCCAGTATTGATCCATTATTCACCCAGCATTCTGGTACTCATTCAGTACTAAGGAATTCATCCAGTATTCACCAGTATTCAAGTACTCACCCATTATCCACCAAATTCCCCCATTTCGGCCCATCGTGCACCCGTCACTGCCCAGACTTGGTTCGATGGCCATTCCAATAATTATGCCTCTGAATCATTACAATTATAAGTCCCGCAATTATCTGAATTATTACAATTATGAGTCCCGCAATTATCTTAATCGCACACCGCGGGCCAGCGCCGTATACACGCATTAATTATGTAATAATTACAGTGCTTCTCACGACGCCATATCGATTGCCGGCCTCGGGATTTTTCTTTTGGCGCCTTAGGCCGCCTTTCTTTCTTTCTTTCTTTATTTCTTTTTTTCTTTCCTCTTTTTCCCTCATCTCCACCCTTTCCCCTCGCCCCCTTACCCTCACCTTTCTTTGTATCGCAGCCTCGGGCTGCAGGAAATTAAATGAACCACATTAACATAATGACGTCTTGGCCCGTATCATGGATACGGCCTAGCCTCGGCTGGCCTGGCCCCGGGCCACTCTGCCACCGCCCGTATCATGGATATACGGCCTGGCCTCGCCTGGCCTGGCCCCGGGCCACTCTGCCACCGCCCGTATCATGGATACGGCGCCTGGCCTGGCCTGGCCCCGGGCCACTGCCACCGCCCGTATCATGGATACGGCGCCTCGCCTGGCCTGGCCTGGCCCCGGGCCACTGCCACCACCCGTATCATGGATACACGGGGCCTGGCCCCGGGCCACTGCCACCGCCCGTATCATGGATACGGCCTGGCCTGGCCCCGGGCCACTGCCACCGCCCGTATCATGGATACGCCCTGGCCCCGGGCCACTGCCACTACCCGTATCACGGATACGGGCAACAATGAGGCACTTGTGCAGCTTCTAATTAATTAAGCGTCCAATAAATGTTATTAATATTAAATAAAGTTAATTATACGGGAGTGTACCGGGGACGTGGTGGGGATATTCGTAGGGATATTTAGGCGCGTAATTTCCACGCGGATATTGGGCTCCTGGGGAAATTCTTTAGACTCCTTCCGGCATTAATTGGGGAAGTTGCCTTACTGCGGGGGAATGGGGGGAGGAGTGGGGGAGTGAAGGGGAGAAGTGGGGAGTGGGGAACCGGAGGGAGTGGGGAGAGGTAGGGATTGGGAGCTGGGGAAGAAGGAGGGGAAGTGGGGAAAGTGGGAGGAAAACGGAATTTTTTATGAAATAAAGTAAATAAAATTAGCACAAATAAAAAATAGAAATGGGAAATCGTGAAATTGGTTTCTTATGTCGAATATCCAACACAATTTCCACACAAAAAATGTTTATCTCTGTATATTCTGTGTTAATATGTTGAGTGACACACAAAGTTCTACGTGGGGTGATTGGCTGCACAGAGTGCCACGTGTGGGGTGATTGGCAGCACAGAGTGCCACGTGTGGGGTGATTGGCAGCACAGAGTGCCACGTGTGGGGTGATTGGCAGCACNATTAGTTTCTTATTGTCTTGTTCTCATTAAGCCTTGTCTTCTCCTTCTCATTAGTTTCTTATTGTCTTGTTCTCATTAAGCCTTGTCTTCTCCTTCTCATTAGTTTCTTATTGTCTTGTTCTCATTAAGCCTTGTCTTCTCCTTCTCATTAGTTTCTTATTGTCTTGTTCTCATTAAGCCTTGTCTTCTCCTTCTCATTAGTTTCTTATTGTCTTGTTCTCATTAAGCCTTGTCTTCTCCTTCTCATTAGTTTCTTATTGTCTTGTTCTCATTAAGCCTTGTCTTCTCCTTCTCATTAGTTTCTTATTGTCTTGTTCTCATTAAGCCTTGTCTTCTCCTTCTCATTAGTTTCTTATTGTCTTGTTCTCATTAAGCCTTGTCTTCTCCTTCTCATTAAGTTTTGTCTTCTCTTTCTCATTAGTTTCATATTGTCTTGATTTCATTAAGCCTGGTCTCCTTCTCATTAGGCTTTGTCTTCTCATTAATTAGCCTCGCGCTGATACTGATTACGCGTCCCCTTACTGATTAACGCATGTCGTCCTGCCTGATTAGTTCTTCCTGATTAACTTTACGAGTCAGCGGAGCACTAAGAGAAACAAGTGTTTCACATTGTCCAAATTTTGACCCACTTTCTTTTACCCACCGTAGCACTGATACGGCCTAAGTGCGTCAGGATGACCCATGCAAGAGCCGTAAAAAGTGTTTCGAAATTTGGGACAAAGTCTCACTTATATTTTTATATATACCTTCTTTTATATTTTTTTAGCGCATTTTCTCATTTATGGGAAAAATGCATTATTGTGCTCGCCATGTCCGTCTGTCCGTCTGTCTGTCCGTCCGTCCGTCCGTCCGTCCGTCCGTCCGTCCGTCCATCTGTCCGTCCGTCCGTCTGTCCGTCATCTCATCCCCTCGCCTCCCCTCATCATCCCCTCGCCTCCCCTCATCATCCCTCGCCTCCCCTCACCATTCCCCTCGCCTCCCCTCATCATCCCTCTCATCCCTCGCTTCCCCTCATCATTCCCCTCGTTATCGGCAGCGCAGGATGATGGACGGCTTCATCATCGAACAATTCATCATCTTCCCTGCAGTTCATCACCAGCAATCGTCATTTAATTATCATTGTCATTAGAGATTCTCTGCAATTAACAATTATAATCAATTATATATAAATTATATCTATTAACAAGTATTTCATCTATTTTAATTATCAAATTATATCACCGTTTCTCTTTATAATCATCGGTTTGATTATCAGCTGATAACCCACGCTCATTAACGTGGTAATATTTGATCATTAAACTCATTAGCGAGTTGACAATTGATTATTGAACTCATTAGCGCGTTGAAATTTTTTTATTGAACTCATTAGCACGTTAATAATTCATTATAAAACTCATTAGTGCTTTAACAAAAAATTATTAAGCTCATTTGCTTCTTAATCAGAGATTAAAGGCATTCAGGTAATTGGGCGGGGGTTAAGTAGGCTCAGTGGGCGCGGGTGTCCCATTTTTCGTCCCATTAGGGAATTATGTGGGGATTGCGGCAATTGTGGGGATTGTGGGGACACCGCGCGTGGGAATGTCCCATAAAATGGGATCAACCCCCCCACCCCCACCCAACCCTCTCGAGGGGGAAGAGGGGGTTAGGGGTGTGGGGGTTTCACTGGGGAAAATAAATGTTCTTTCGAAATTATGATTATTAAATTGCAATTATTACTTATTTAACTAAATTAAATAAAAACATATTCGAAAAAATTAGCAAATGTTTGTCATGAAAAAAACAGTAGAAAAATTTTGCGAAATTTTTAAGGTAAAGGAAATATGGAGACTAATTGACCAATTATAATGATCAATATTATATTTATTATTAGTATATTTAATACTTTTAAAATAATTTTTTAATGTTATACTTAAATGGGGAAATTGGGAGGAGAGCGCGTCGAGCCATTCCTAATGAGGCCCATTCCCACAAACTGGGATAGGTTCTCCCCATTCCTTCATTCCCCAAATTGGGGGAATATCTTCCTCCTTTCCCTTAAATTAGGGGAATACCTTGCCCTATTCCCCAAATGGGGAACATCTTGCCCCATTTCCCCAATTTCTGAGGAAATTATAAACAATAACAAATTCCAGCAATCAAACAACTTTCCCTTAGAAGGAAACTATCACAGCTTTCCCCTCCTTCCCCCCGTGGGAAAAAGAGTGGGGGTATTAGAGGTGGGGAAGAGTGGGGAAGGCTACGCGTGAGGCTAGACAGGCTCATTGTTCTATTGTTTTTGTTGTATTGTTATTAAGGGCATTGCGGGCCCCAGGTGGGTCGTTTTGACCCATAATCGCGTTATTAGTCTCGTTATAGTCCCTGTATTGTTTGTGTGCTGTATAGTTCCTGTATAGTTTGTTGTATTGTTGTGTGAAGAAAGTAGCGAAAGCTGTTCGTTATTAGCGGTCTGGGTAGCTAGGGTGACTAGGGAGACTAGGGTGACTTAAGCTAGTCACCCTAGTCACCCTTACTAGGGTGTCTAGGGTGACTAGGGTGACTAGGGTATCTAGGCTGACTAGGGTGACTAGGGTGACTAGGGTGACTAGGGTGACTAGGGTGTTTAGGGTGATAAGGGTGACTAGGGTGTCTAGGGTGACAAGGGTGACTAGGGTGACTAGGGTGACTAGGGTGACTAGGATGACTAGGGTGACTAGGGTGACTAGGGTGACTAGAGTGACTAGGGTGTCTAGAGTGACCAGGGTGACTAGGGTGTCTAGGGTGACTAGGGTGACTAGGGTGACTAGGGTGACTAGGGTGACTAGGGTGACTAGGGTGTCTAGAGTGACCAGGGTGACTAGGGTGTCTAGGGTGACTAGGGCGACTAGGGTGACTAGGGTGATTAGGATGATTAGGGTGTCTAGGATGCCTATGGTAACTAGGGTGACTAGGGTGTCTAGGGTGACTAAGGTGACTGGGGTGACTAGGGTAACCAGGGTGACTAGGGTGTCTAGGGTGACAAGGGTGTCTAGAGTGACCAGGGTGACTAGGGTGTCTAGGGTGACTAGGGCGACTAGGGTGACTAGGGTGACTAGGGTGATTAGGGTGTCTAGGTGACTAGGGTACCTAGGATTTTAAGGTGACTAGTGTGACTATGTGCAGTTACAGTGCAGCAGTTACAGTGCAGCAGTTACAGTGCAGCAGTTACAGTGCAGCAGTTACAGTGCAGCAGTTACAGTGCAGCAGTTACAGTGCAGCAGTTACAGTGCAGCAGTTACAGTGCAGCAGTTACAGTGCAGCAGTTACAGTGCAGCAGTTACAGTGCAGCAGTTACAGTGCAGCAGTTACAGTGCAGCAGTTACAGTGCAGCAGTTACAGTGCAGCAGTTACAGTGCAGCAGTTACAGTGCAGCAGTTACAGTGCAGCAGTTACAGTGCAGCAGTTACAGTGCAGCAGTTACAGTGCAGCAGTTACAGTGCAGCAGTTACAGTGCAGCAGTTACAGTGCAGCAGTTACAGTGCAGCAGTTACAGTGCAGCAGTTACAGTGCAGCAGTTACNGCCACTAGGCCTACCGCCGCCCACTGGGCCCGCCACTAGGCCTACCGCCGCCCACTGGGCCCGCCACTAGGTCTACCGCCGCCCGCTGGGCCCGTTTTTACACTCAGTTAAATAAATGGCCCCATTGTCCAAATTACGATGCACCTTCTTCACGTAGCCCTGATACGCTCTTATAAAGGACCAAAGTGAGTCAAAGTGACCCATTTCCATGCAAAAATTACGTCATTATTTACACAAATTTTCACTAATTTTTCCCAGTATAGGCCTACTGTCGATGTAATTTTCAGTTACCGTTTGCATGTTGCCCTCTTTTTTCCCCTCTCAACGGAGATCCCCTCTTTTTCCCCTCTCTTTTGAAGAGGGAAATAAAGTTCAAGTTGAAAAGTTGGGCAGAAAACAAGCGGTCAAACTTGGCTGTTTGCGACGCATGTCATTGAACGGAGTGGTCACACTCAGTCAAATATGAGGGAGATTGTCCCTTTTTTGTGTTAAAGTGGTCACACTCAGTCAAATATGAGGGAGATTGTCCGTTTTTTGTGTTAAAGTGGTCACACTCAGTCAAATGTGAGGGAGATTGTCCCTTTTTTGTGTTAAAGTGGTCCCACTCAGTCAAATATGAGGGAGATTGTCCCTTTTTTGTGTTAATGTGGTCACACTCAGTCAAATGTGAGGGAGATTGTCCGTTTTTTGGGCTAAAGTGGTCACACTCAGTCAAATATCAGTGAAATTGTCCGTTTTTTGGGCTAAAGTGGTCACACTCAGTCAAATGTGAGGGAGATTGTCCCTTTTTACAACACTTCTCTTTAACTTCACTTTTTGTTTGTCTGCTACAAATCTTATAATTAATATTTAACACACTTCTTATAATTAATATAAGATTTATGACAAAATAAATAAATTTAAATATTTAAATTCTTTTAATATTAAAAACGTTTTTTTAATAATCAAAAATAACAGAAATTCATTGTACATGTTTAACATCGGAGACACTGTACTCTTTATAAGTGTTGTCATTAAAAAGTAATTGTTTAAACGCATATTTTATTGTGCTTAAGTGTGTCACTCTGACCCAGTTTGACCACGCAAAAGAGCGTATCAGTGCTACGCGCACAAAAAAATGCGTCACTGTTTTAATTCTGTTTTTAATTTTTTTTAATATTTAATTTTTTTAATTTTATTGTTTAATTATTAAAATTTTTATTTTAATAATTGGGAAAATTTAACCCATTCATTCATTTTTCTGTATGTTATACAAACATAAATGTTCTGTATGTTATGTTCTGTATGATTCAAGGGTAGATTTAAGGGGAGGGGGGGCCTTAAATCTACCCTTGAATCACGTCTACCCACCTCCCCCCCAAATAAATACTCCCCCCC